ACAAATGAGAAGAGTTTGCGTTAGTGGACAAAGCTGGGTATCCAAGAACAGTAGAGTTGAATACTGTCGAGATGCGGTCCACTAACGAGTAGAGACTACCGTATGAAGACGAAACTCAAGGCCCTGATGAAGGGAATGGACGACTTGTATAGGGGGCTAACGACTACCCCATAAAGTGATAAAACAGTTTTTGGAGGTGTTTAGAATGTATGAAAAGAGCGAAATGGTAAATAGGCTGAACGAAAATACGAAAGGAGATAGCGGAATGAAGAGGTTTTTAAACAAGTTAAAAAGAGGATGAAAAGCAAATCAGCAAAGGGCAAATATCTGAAAACGCAGGTGTATTCCTGCTTTACGCTGCTGAAACGGAGGAAAAAAGAATTGTATCTAGAGCACATCTAGATTTCGCTGCTTACAACAGCCAATGAGTCACAGCAGTTAGATGAGCAACAGTGTGTTCATATATCAAACACTGATAATCTAAGATATCCATGACGCTGATATCAGCAGCCTACAAATGGGCTTTTCATCCTTTTTCCCATACCATTCAAGAGGGGCTATTACGTGATGGCATATAATGGAACTTTCGAGCGACGATGCTAGTCCCAAAGTACACGAAATGGCCACAGCAAGACTGTGATTGACTGTGTTATTGGGCCACTAATCTACTGAGACGTATCATTTCGACAGACTCCATACCAAAGCCCAAATGATAGTGATAATGGTTAAGTTTATATCGAAATTATTTTTTTTGTTACACAAAAAATTATAATTGATTTTCGCAGTGTAAAATTGTAGGCAGGATTCGATTCCCTGCGGCCATTCACATATCCTGACACCGATGTATTCCTGTTGTGTTTTAATGTGATGCTGCCGAGCACACTGCGATCAATCACGAATCACTGGATTCCCGAGATCAATAAAACAGTGCCTAATACACCTGGCATGTTTCAAATGTTTACACGAATATTGCCTTTTGACTGATTTAAACCTCAGCCGAAAACGGCACGACATAGGACTGCGAGCACAGTGCATAGTTCATGTTTCAAAGCTTCCGAGCGAAATCAATGAAATCGCCTCTTCAGCACCATCATGTTGGGAGAAGTTATGTTTGAGGATATCAACGTGATTGCTATGATAGTGAAAGAGCACATGCTCAGTCTGACAGTGAAAGCAGTGGAACGGAAGTCACCTAAAATATTTTTTGTGGTTCAGAATGGCAACGACACACACTAAAATGCACTGAGCATGACAAGTTGCTCTTTTTGCTTCCATCTAGGACGCATGCATCTGTAGAATCTAGTTTTCTAATAAAATGTTCAGTGACACTTTATTTTCAGTGATAGAATTGGCGAAATACTACACACAATTTGCATCTAAATCTCATTCACTTCTCACCATTTAGGCTTTTTATCAACTCTCCAAATCCAAAAGCCTGGCGTAGAGCTACGCTCGGCATATAAAACATCCCGGTTTTATCGCTAGCACACTGAAATCCAGATGGTCTTGATACTTTGTTTGTACAAATATCGATTTAAAAGTGCCAAAACCCTTTGGCTAAAAAAATAACCATAAAAATAAATTTGCAGTGATCTTGGTTGGTACCCAATCTGATTTGCGGGCAAACGTCAGCCTGGTTATTGATTTGTGCAAGAATGGTGAACAGCCAGTCAGTGAGTCAAAAGCGCGGATACTGAGCGAAGAGCTGAGTGCCGATTATTTGGAATGTTCGGCGCTTACACAGCACAATCTTAAAGAAGTTTTCGATGCGGCAATTTTAACGGCACTGCGCAGTAAAGCATCAAATGCTGCTACTGCTTGTTCTACTGCTAACGCCGATGTACCGTTGTCGCGCGGAATAAGGGGTCTTCTGAGTAACGAGAGCGACAGGGACGAGAAAAAATCAAGTAGAATTAGGCAAGGCATCAAAAGAATTGTCACCTTCACCAAAAGATTGTTGTAACGATTGCGTGTATCAACGGCGAGTATAAAACTTGATGGGTAGTGCAGGCAGCATTTCTCCGACGAGGAATAAACTAAGCGGGACGAGGGGAGGGGG